ACTCTTTTCATAAACTTCTCATGTCGATGAAACACAATAAATATAAACAAACTGGGGAAATGTAAAGTCTAATCAAAGAACAATAAAAATGTTAAAATTAAAAGGAAGACTTAAAAAGAAAATCTGGTCATTCATTAAGGAAGGCTCAGAAAGAAAATTTAGTCACTCATTAAGGAAGGCTTACAAAGAAAATTTGGTCATTCACTAAGGAAGGCTTAGAAAGAAAATTTGGTCATTCATTAAGGAAGACTAAGTAAGAAAAGCTAACTAATCATTAAGGAAGGCTTAGAAAGAGAAGTTGGCTAATCATTAAAGAAGGCTTACAAAGAAACTGGTTACTCATTAAGGAAGGCTTAGAAAGAAAATCTGGTCATTCATTAAGGAAGGCTAAGAAAGAGAAGCTGACTAATCATTAAGGAAGGCTTAGAAAGAGAAGTTGGCTGATCATTAAGGAAGGCTTACAAAGAAACTGGTCACTCATTAAGGAAGGCTTAGAAAGAAAATCTGGTCATTTTTTAAGGAAGGCTAAGAAAGAGAAGCTGAATAATCCTTAAGGAAGGCTTAGAAAGAGCAGTTGATTATATATTAAGGAAGGCTTAGAAAGGAAATCTGGTCATTCATTAAGGAAGGGTAAGAAAATGAAGCTGACTAATCATTAAGGAAGGCTTAGAAAGAAAAGGTGGCCAAGCCAATATTTAAGGAAGACTCTAACAGAGAAGGTGTCCGGCCGCTAGAAGAGATTTATGATTCAATCTGCTGTAGAAAAGGGATGAATTCCTTTACACAGAATCCTGCCAAAGACACTAGGACTTAAGTAATTCAATTATTATTTACATTATAAACAATTCAACGTGTTTTCAATATTTTCGCGAAAAAATATAATTTGCTTTAAACTCATTTTATATACTACAGAATAACATATTGGCATTACACGAACCAATTAGATATTCTGTACTCAAAAATGTTTCAAACCTAAATTTTGTCAAAGTAGGAGCATTGACTTTAATTCTGATTAGCACTGTAAGTCTGTAAATTTACCGCTTACTCACCGGGAACCGAAGCAATCCTGAAAGTATCACGAATTATCGAATCCTGTTTAATACATTGGTTAAATTGCGTTCAAATATTCAAGGATTTTTTTTAAATGGTGTTTTGTCAGTAATAGCGAATTCTTATAGGGTCTACTTTGCCTTTGTGTGATCTCCCAATATCTGCACCTCTCTGGATTTAGTCTTACATCTAATAAAAGAGAAAGAAAAAAGTACTGTTTTTCAAGTAAGAGATCGTTCATAATTATCAATCTAATGACCAGGTACAAAATTACTCTGGTAAGGAAAGAAGGTGTCAGACATGTATGTGAACCTTTTGAGAAAATAAAAATTATATATATATATTTTTTGCTAGTATCTTTGTATCTCTAACCCAATTTAACCACAGTTATAACCGATCCCTCATATAAGTCACACACGTACGCAGGGGCAGGGGTTCGCCCGAACCCCCTTTTTTGTGATGCATAGTTATAGCGCAGTTGCTTATGCTATTTAACGTGTTTTACATAGTTTACATTCTTATGATGAAGCATTAACATTTTTGGGCTTGAAATAGTCGCAAACAGTTGACATTTTGTAATTGAAACTCTGAAGCCTTGTTGCTACTGTCAGGTTTTTAGGCCGGATTTTTTACAGTAGGTGCCTGTGACTTGTTGGCGATAAATTTCACCACTAAACAAACATCAACAGACTACCGTAATATTAGCATACTGACTGTGCTTCGCACAATATGTGTTGACTTTCGATCTCACAAATTAGACTCTTAGACTCCCCCCCCCCCCCTTTTCAAAAATTTCGGGCACGGGCCCGTAAGGGGGCGGGGGGGGCTACCATCCAATGCGGC